ATAATACATACTCCAAGTATTGAAATACACGCCATCGTGTTGGGATTCAATATATCGACATTAATTAAGTCATAATCAGGTCATTCCTGATGATGACATAATTAATGTCGAAATATTGAATCCCAACACGATGGCGTGTATTTTTGGAGTATGTATTATACTTTCTTATCTAGTTAATCTGCTAAAAAGGGCTAATTATTGTTTAGCTCCACTAATGGCTCCATACAGTAGGCCCTATTGATATGTAAATTAATTACTTACTTCCTGTCTCCGCTTGGTATTTTTGAGTTTTGTTTTTTTTTTCAATTTACTTGATCTTGAGAATGGTTCCATGATGGACCCGAAACGTCGATCTTTCTTGTCATTAAATTTTGTTTTGAAAATATAATATTAATGTTTAAAAAAAATGTATATATGTTAATAGTTTTAACAGGTCTAAAATAACAATAATAAATAATAATAACTTGCAAAAATATTAATATAATAATAATGACGAAAATAATAGTAGTAGTAATAATGATAATAATAATAATAATATTTAACAAGGAAAACAATAAGGAATATCTGTATCTCTATCTATAATTTACAGACTTGTAAACCTTTACCAGTTCAACAATTTTTAAGACATGACGTGAGATTGTTAGGTCTATCATTTCAGCTGTTTCTGATTTTAAAGAAAATATTCTATCCAATTATGCACTGTTAATTTTTTGTAGATGTGGGATTTGCAGAGATAACAAAAACGATAAAAACGAAAGCGTGGAGGATTTAAACACAAAGCACCACGCAATGTTGTCCCGTTTTGGTGACACGTTTAAAAGCTAAACGTGTTTAGACATAGCTTAATGTATTTAGGATCTTGACGCATTTAGCATTAAATGTGCTTAGGTATTTGACATCATTATGTCAGAAACCTAAACACATTAGGCCTGGCCTAAACACGTTTAGCTTTTAAGCGTGTCACCAAAAACGGGACAACATTGCGTGGTGCTTTGTGTTTAAATCCTGCACGCTGTTTTTACATTGTAGAGGTGTCCATACGTAATAATGTTATTTGCACAGTATTTGTTAATAAAGTATTACCGGTATATATTAATTGATGCTGAAAGACGTTTCAACATAACTTGAATACTGTATATAATTCATTCTCACCTTAATATTTGTAATCAGTCAGCGTCTTCTTTTTCTTCTTTGCTAATTGCAATTAATAGGTCATTATATCCACCATCTTGCACACTTACACTATTTCTCTTCCACGATGCCAATGCTGATGTCAATGTCCAAAAGAAGACAACGAATATATAAATGCGTAGACATTGAATCATTTTGCTGTTTATCGGAGCTGCTCTCAAAAATTACTGTTTCAATAGGCTCTAATATCTTTCATGGTAAAATAAATATCTATTTGAATTTTGCGGGGTAAACCCAAAATCTAAACTTACCACCTCAAAGCTCACAATTGCAATCACAAATTCAAATCATTGTGCCAAATTGAGGAATGCATTCACGCATTAAGCAGTCACAAAAAGTATATTTTTTTATATTTGTAAACTACTATTAAAAATAGTAGATTGCTAATGTACCTGTACCATATATTATTTAATGACACAATTTATACATTATATTCAAATTGTTCAACCTTGGCATACAAACTTTCTTGAAAATTCATCAAAATTAGGTACGTCTTTGTTTAAATCAATCAATCAATCAATCAAAATATTTATATAGCGCCAATATACAGAAATGTTCAGTGGCGCTGTCACACTTATTCAGAATGCTCTTCAAAAAAAGGAAAGCTTTCAGATTGCTCTTGAACACAAATCTATCAGATCGGCTTTGTGTTGGCCCGATTTACATGCCTGGGTTTAAATAGAAACTGATTCATCTGACTTCATTAACTTCACGCGACTGAATCCATATACACAGGTACAAAAGCCAAGATAATGGCCTTAGACTGCAATAGTTTTGACATATTGTTCAGGAGTGTAAGGATTTACACTATCCTGCAAAAACCCCTTTGTTGGGTACTCGGCCTACATCAGAATTTTGAATGCAGTAGGTCTACTAAGTGTCAATCTAAGGACCATGCTACGCTCAACAAGGAGCTGTTTTAGGCAGAATCGGTGTTAGGAGGCAAGTTAGAAATTATCATCTGGAAGAATAAGGAGTCTCCAGTAAGTGATATTATGGTAACCACCATTGTATAGACATCAGTCAGGAAAACGTCACACACCAACATTCGTGAATGAACTAGGGTGGAAATCAAGGTTTTCGATAGATAGATTTTATAATTGTATTATCCATAAAATTCAATAACGATGTAATCATTTTACATGTTATATGTTCTAAAGGAAGAAGTTCACTACCAACATGCTTAACTAACACATTATCTAATTGCTTTCAATGCGTTTATAATCACTTTGTCACCCGATTCTACCTAAATGATCTGATGAGTATCAGTTTCGGTGACAGTCATGACAGTATAGTGTCAACAAACCTGATTAGATTAGGGGATTTTGATCAAATGATTGATGACTGGTGTTGGTACCAGTATAGAAGTGTATCAGCATTTTATTTGTCACCAAAACTGATCATTTAGGTAGAATCGGTTGACTTCGTGCCGTGGACACTAATAACATATATTATGCATGCCTACTCACAATTACAGTTACAACAAGGAGCAGATATCTGTACCTCTCTGCCCCTGCTTACAATATCATAGCCTATACGTCATTGTATAAAATATGAAATATGATATAATATTACAGATACAAATGGTAACATAAGCCAAACCATAGAAAACACTGTACAGTATTTGTTCGATTGCTGTCCTAATCTGTATAATGACATTCGACCGCTTCTGCCGGATCTTTGTTCAAACATTCATTTACAGTCGCCTATATTCATAAATTTTTTTAGCTTTTGTAATATATAGACCTAACAGTACCAATTACAATATTAAGTAGTATTTACGATTGTGTATTTAAGCAGAATAATACCTAATTATTCATTAAATTAAGAATACACACATACCATTTTTTTTTATCGGCCCATAGATTAAATAGCTTGTGTATTAAAACTGTAAAAACTTTTTACTATTGTAGTATTGCAAGATAATATTTTTAAATGAACTGTTTCATGTTTCATAACAGACTGTATATTTTTTCTATTTCAACAATACAATTTAATACATAAACCCCGATAATAAAATTTTCTGGATTGTATAGGTCATGTGCCAGATTGATTTACGTATGAGGCCAAGCAGGTATACTTTCTGGTAATTCACGTATTTTCTCAGGATGATAGGTAATACACAACGAATATTTGATGAGACACATCTGAATTTGTTTTGAACAATCCAGACCTGCTCACAAGATAGTTAATACATTCATAATTGAACTGAAGCGGTAGAGTCCTAATACATATTGATTATATATTTCAGATGAAATCATTTTTTTTTTCTATTCAAAAGTTACGGTATTCTATCGTATTTTTAATCATCTTATATTATATCTATCAACTATAATACTTGAATAGTTTGTTTGGCGTTCGTTCTTTAAACCACGTCCAACCATAATGATCGATTATTAAAACTTAATAACTTTTTCAAAAATGATTATAAAGATTTAATTAATCAAGTTTTATTGAATTAGGCGTAAGCAGGGTTTACATGGGCAGGTCCTCTGTCATTAGACCCAGTTGTAGATCGCCTTGTATGTTTTATATATAGGCCGATCAACGTAAACATCAAGAAGCCTGCAACACCGATTGCCACCACAATCAATACCAATACATTTATCCCATTGGAATCTTGTTCAAGAGGAGGAATATATTCCAAATTTGCAGAAACAATGTTGGATAGCCCACCGGTATTGTTAGCCTCGTCGATTGCCATAACACCAAAATAATATGAAACTTCAGCTCCACGCTTTGGTAGTCGAACTTTAACTTCTTCTAGTAGTCCAGACTGTTTGATCATCAACAAGTTTCCAGAAATGACGTCATCTTGTGTTAATAGATTTGCACTGGAAAAGTTTGTAAAAATCTCTTCAAATGTTTCGGCGAATCGAAGATCGTATTCAGTAGCTATTTAAAAGAATGTAAAGCAAAATATAATTTTGAGTAATAAAACAAGGAGGTAATTATTAGATGTACTGGTACATCTTAGTTATGTTCCAGCCAAAATACGGTGAAACTCGGGAGTTTGTCAGATCCTCGCAGTTAGCGATGTTGTGCGCAATTACCTGGATGTTAGAGTGAGTCAGGGTGCTATAGGCTTAAGTGAGTTAAGAGTAGAGCTTGTGCTGTAAGTACACGGTATCTACAGCCTCATAATTTATCATTGTACCTCACTCTGCACTCACTTCCAGTTGCCAGACACATGTTGTGACAGACCACGACTTTCAAAAATTTTAGAAGATTTAAGATTTTAGAAGTTCTATACAAATTGACAAAGATGTTGACTGAATTGTCTAATTATTTGTGAATCAATCAAACTCGACTAAAAATGGCCATTAAGATATTTCATTTTTCGAAATTCCCCAATATACGATAAAAACAAAAGTAATGCGAGCTTTCCTTATGGGCTTATTTCATGACCATCTGCTCTCGGATCATGAAGCTCAGGCTGAGGGTAATTTTATAAAATGAGGAAATATTAGCTATGTCTTGTATGCATTAACTTTCAAAGCAAATTTTGAAATTCAAAACATATCAGGCAAAGGTCTGGTTTCTGGTAAAGAAGTGTGCATAATAATACACCTACCTGATCCTTTATCAAAATCATCACCGACTGCAGTCCATTGTAAAGTTACACTCTGTTGTTGATACGAAACTTCAATAACTTTTAGATCTATAATCCGTGATGGTTGCAGACGATCTATTGCAACGTCAACGTGGTTTGACACTTGGAGTA